CTCGTTAACAACCCTTTGGAGCGGGAGGCGACAAAACCCAGCATCTGCATCGAGCCAATTCTGGGGTGGGTTTTTTGTTTTTGTTTTATTGCAGCTGTAAATCTCCAAAAGCATTTCGCCCAATAAAACGAAGCTAATCCGCCTTGCGGTGGCGGTGGACTTAGCGTTTAGGATGGGCACTGCGTGTGTGCTGGGGCTGAGCAGGAAACGCCAGACGTCTCTTGGTCTGAGCCTTTATAAGGAGAGGGATAATGCTCCCCATAGCATCTGCATGAGATCACGGACTTTCCTTTTGGACCCGGTTGACCTGATGGCAACACTGCCTTTTCAGGGTGCTGGTTTGCTACGGATTGTGCCCTCTGCAGTTATTGTGTCCTTTGGTAGCTGATCTTTTGCAGGAAAAACTCTGTTGTATTGAGCGTGCATGGAATCGACTGTAAGAGTGCCATCATAACGATGATAGATTAATTATGGGGCATGTATTGCGCTGGGACGCGGGTGGCGCTGTGGGTAAAAGCCTCAGCGCCTAGGGCTTGCCGATCGAAAGGTCGGCGGTTCGAATCCCCGCGGCAGGGTGAGCTCCCGTTGCTCGGTCCCTGCTCCTGCCAACCTAGCAATTCAAAAGCACGTCAAAGTGCAAGTAGATAAATAGGTACCGCTCCGGCGGGAAGGTAAACGGCGTTTCCGTGCGCTGCTCTGGTTCGCCAGAAGCGGCTTAGTCATGCTAGCCACATGACCCGGAAGCTGTACGCCGGCTCCCTCGGCCAGTAAAGCGAGATGAGCGCTGCAACCCCAGAGTCGTTCGTGACTGGACCTGATGGTCAGGGGTCCCTTTACCTTTATTGTGCTGATAGGGGGCATGCAGAGATTTGTTTTGGCCTGCTGACCCACATGTATGATGCTCCTCGTAGAACCATCGAGGGTCATCTAGTCCAGCCCCCTTGCAATGTAGGAATCTCTTGCCCAACATGGGACTCAAACCCACGACCCTGAGATTAAGTGTCATTTTCTACCGACTGAGGTATCCCAGAGGCTCTCTTCTTCCTCAAAGCTCTTGTGTTTAAGCTGGACATCATAATTTTATAAGGCCCCATCCACACCATGCATTTAAAGCAGTTTCATACCACTTTAAGCAGTCCTGGCTTTCCCCAAAGAATGCTGGGAACGGTAGTTTGCTAAGCATGCTGAAAGTTTTTCGGAGATCTCCATTCCCCTCCCAGAGCTGCAACCTCAAGAGTGGCTTAATGATCAGGGGATTCTGGGAATTGGGGTTCTTTGAGAACTGCAGCCCATTTCCTCCCCTCCTATAAACTCTCAGCCTCTTAACAAACTACAGTTCCCATATTTCATTGGGGGAAGCCGTGGCAGGAAGAAAGTATTTTCAGATAAAAAGGTATCTCAGCTTGCAAGCTCGTTGTCCAAACACCTGAAAATCCAGCCTCATTTATTGAACTGATACTTGTTATACCCTTAACGGGTCCTGATGCCCTGCAGGCACCAGAGAAACCTGAACTGGACAAACTGATCTGTGCTTTGGACACGAGAAGTGGCAGCTGGAACACCTCTGAGCATACGCAGAGTGCCTTTTCTTCTCTTGCTCCTGAACAGCCTCAGTTGGTTCCTTCATCCTTGGGGCCAGGGGATGTGGCTATAGGGCAGACTTCCTACCAGGACCATCTGGGGTAGGCATAGGCAAACTCCGGCCCTCCAGATGTTTGGGTCTGCAATTCCCATCATCCCTAGCTAACAGGACCAGTGGTCAGGGATGATGGGAATTGTAGTCCCAAACATCTGGAGGGCTGGAGTTTGCCTATGCCTGGTCTGGGGGGAAAGCCAAAATTTTAAGCAATCCATGCTACCCTAGGGCAGGCATGGGGGGTGGAGAGATGAACCCGTGAGAAAGTTCAGGGGTTCTTGCAGCCCCGCTGCCGCTAATGCTATTGTTCATACTTAAAGAAGCAATGCCTAATTGCAGCCCTGGACTGCCTATTGGGGGGGGGGGAGACATGGGGAGGATCAAGGATTTTTATAATGTAGTGACTCACGTCTCTTTCTGCTCTTTCCCTGCTTTCTGAGCCTCTTTCTAGACCCCGAACTTTCCTGTAGCCAGGCCAGCTTGAGACAAAACTTTTTTGGGGGGTGGAGGATCTCGATTGTACAGAGAACTTTACTATTTGTGCAACTGTAAAAGTGTCAGAGAGAAGTTGTTCTTGGCTCAAAAACTTACAAATGGTATGCCAGGGTTGCATCCATGCTCCCTATGAAAAGCACATTAAGGGCGGTATCCAGCCCCCTCATCCCGCCAGCATGGAAATTCCTGTTCAGTGCGACTTGCCCATACCCAAATCTTCTCCTGTGGGTTTGGGGACCCCTAAAACAAATTTAAGAGGTGCACAGGGGAGGAGAGGGGGGGAAGTCCTCTTCTGCAATTGGAAATCTTTTCACTGGTAAGGCAGTTATTTGATGCTGCGTGCAGGCCTTTTGACGGGCTCCCGTGAGCTCAGTGCACCCACCCGCCGAGAAGGGAGCCTGTCGTGTCTCTGAATGATCCCCTGCTTTGGTGTTTGCCTCCCTCCAAGTCAGCTGCTGATGGGTGTTTGGCATGGTTAGAAATTAGCCGGGTGCCAGGTGCGTTTTGCGACTAGATCGGGTCCACGTGGAGCGACCACGTGGAGATCTCTGGGTGCCAGATGTCCCCATCTGGCTAGCTCCTCCAGCTTTCTTAAGCAGCTTAATTATTGCATTTTTACCCCACCTTTATCTCCAAGGGTTTCATGGTGTCCCCCCAATGAATCCCTACAACGACCCTGCGAGGTAGGTTAAGAGGCTGTTGTGTGGCTGTGTGATTACACAATTCAATTATTTCATGGGGGGGGGGAACCACCCCCGTTCAGAGGAGGCTTCTGTCGTCTCTGCATGATCCCCCATTCTCACCTTACGCTCTTTGAATCCACCTGTGATGGGTGATTTGTGATCCATTCTCTCCTGGTTTGAGGACTCAGCAGAACAACCTGCCTTGACCTTCTGGACGTGCCTAAAAGCTAGAGGGCAGGTTGAGTCCCCGTCCAAAACACGTCCTTCAAAATCCAGGCCAGAGAGAGAACCGTTGAATTCTCCCTTCTGTGCACGGTTCGCTGCTCTGAAATGTGTGCCGCCGTCGCTTGCGGAGCAGAGAGCTGGCCCGGCTCTTTGAAAACTAGGTCACCATCAACATGGAAAACAAAAGCAACAATTTCGTGCCTGCAAGTGAAAGGAGAACTCCAATGTGGGACAGAGTGCAGGGCCCACGTCTACGCCACATTTAGAGCAGCAATGGCTAGCAACTCTGAAGCAGAAAACTTGGTTCAAAGATCCAAATTATTCCCCAAGAAAATGCAGCTCCCGTAGAAATGGTGCTAATTGTGCTAACGCTCTTCTGGTTCCTTTCCTTTCATGCCTTTGCAATGTTTGAACTGCTTTGCATAATGCTTTTTGTTTTGCTTGCTTGGGGGAAATTAGGGATCTGCAGTTTCTTCTCAGTCTGTCCACCTCCAGCTTCTGAGATGAACAGACCTTGCTCACCCCCCCAAATAAACCTTCCAATTTCAAGAAACTTGCTTTGCGTGTCCTCGTTTTTAAAGCAAGAGCTCACCCTTCCTGGGAAGCTGGGCTTTGCTTCTACTTCTGTAATAATAATAGTAATAAAAATCATAATTATTATAATTACTGGTACTATTAATTAACTGACCTTCACCCTGAGGTTGCAGGACGGGTGACACCATTAGAACACAATATTAAAAACAGTCTAAACCCGGGGTCAGCAAACTTTTTTCAGCAGGAGGCCGGTCCACTGTCCCTCAGACCTTGGGGGGGGGGAGGAGACTATATTTGAAAAGGAAAAAAAAAGAACGAATGCCTATGCCCCACAAATAACCCACAGAAGCATTTAAAATAAAAGGACACATTCTACTAATGTAAAAACACGCTGATTCCCGGACCACCCACGGGCCAGATTTAGAAGGCGATCGGGCCGGATCTGGCCCGCGGGCCTTAGTTTGCCTAAGTAAAGGTAAAGGGACCCCTGACCATTAGATCCAGTCGTGACTGACTCTGGGGTTGCGGCGCTCATCTTGCTTTATTGGCCGAGGGAGCTGGTGTACAGCTTCCGGGTCATGTGGCCAGCATGACTAAGCTGCTTCTGGCGAACCAGAGCAGCGCACGGAAATGCCGTTTACCTTCCCGCCAGAGCGGTACCTATTTATTTACTTGCACTTTGACGTGCTTTCAAACTGCTAGGTGGGCAGGAGCAGGGACCGAGCAACGGGAGCTCACCCCGTCGCAGGGATTCAAACCGCCGACCTTCTGATCGGCAAGTCCTAGGCTCTGTGGTTTAACCCACAGCGCCACCCGCGTCCCTTTTAATTTGCCTACCCATGGTCTAAACCAAGTTACAATCACAGAATGGAGCTGGGTCCTAAAATCAAAAGCCAGGGCGACAAGGTATGTATTCAGCATTCGCCAGAATCTGGATAGTGAAGGTGCCCAGCGCATCTCTTTGGGGAAGGAATTCCACATCTTAGGGGCTGCCACAGAGAAGGCCCTGTCCCGGGGTGCCACCCCCCCCCAAATCTCTGAGGGAGGTGCAACTGTTTTGCTGTTTGCCACCCAGGTTCTATCAGGAAGAAGAGCAGGATTGACATTTAATAAAGAGTGCTGCCACAAGCGATTGTCAGTGTCTACTACTCCCAATGGGTAAATGTAGCCTCCTTGTTCAGGAGCAGTGTATCTCCAAATAACCAATACCTGCAGCAGTTGGGAGAAGCCTGTAGCCTTCTCAACTTGGGCTTCTCATGGGGGCATCCAGTTCCCCTCTGCCTGAAGCAAGCTGCTCTTTGAGCTGTTCCAGCAGAGCTCTCTCTGATACAGGTAACGCGCAGTTGGGGAGGAAGGGGCCTGGTAGAAGCTTGGATTGCAGCTCTTCCCGTGTGTCTCTCTCTTCCTTGACTCTGTGCTTGCCTCAGATACGGAGCTCCTGGCGTGGAATTCACAGGCCTACATAGGGAAACGGCGACAGTCACCCAGATGCACTTTCTACCTGGACAGGTAAAAGAACGGCACCTTTTGGTCCCACCTTGACGCTGCCCGCAGGTTGATATCCCCTGCCTGTCGGTATTAGGCAGCTGCCCGCATTGTATTGTTTATGACCCTGTTGGGAACTTTTCTGGGGTGTGGGGGGGGGGGGTGCAAAGCCAAACACTGAAACGGCAGAGCAGGTCACTTTCTCAAAGAGAATCGAGAATAATAGTGCCTGTCTTGTATCTCAGGTTCTACAACTGCTAGGAACTTAATTGGAGTGCCGTTAAAGAGGGGAAAGGCAGCAAAAAGCCCAGAAGGGAATTTGTGGTGCCCAGCTTAAGAGGTTTAGACAAATCTGTGTCAGCAGCTACTAGCCATAATGGCAGTGCTTCCTAACACCAGTTGCAGGAACTTGCCCTTGTGCTCAGAGCCTGCTTGTAGACTTGCCACAGACATCTGGTTAGCCGCTAGGAAAAGAAGAAGAAGAGTTCAGATTTGATATCCCGCTTTATCACTACCCGAAGGAGTCTCAAAGCGGCTAACAATCTCCTTTCCCTTCCTCCCCCACAACAAACATGCTGTGAGGTGAGTGGGGCTGAGAGACTTCAGAGAAGTGTGACTGGCCCAAGGTCACCCAGCAGCTGCATGTGGAGGAGCGGGTGCTGGCGTATAAATGGGCCATTGGCCTGAGCTAGCCAGGTCGCCTTCTGTTCTTAACTACACACTTAGATGGTTTTCCTTTCTTTTCCAGGGCCGGCTGCTGTCTCTCCTTGACGACAACACCCTCCACCTTTGGGAGATTTACCAGAAAGATGGCTACTCTCACTTGGAGGAGACCCATAGCTATGTCCTCCCCGGACGTCCAGGGTTCGACACCGCTAAGTACTCATTGCTTGCTTGCCTCCTTTTTCCTCCTTTTTGGGGCGCTGTGGGTTCTTGGGAGATGATCCCCTGCGAAGATGCAGGGACCGCTTTCTCAATCTCGTAGATTACTCAGCATCTAGAGGATCCCTCCTTTCCTTCTTAGCCACCACCTGCCCTCCTGCTTCGTGAGCTGTCTCCCAATGCCGGCTCTGCTGTTAGACAAAGCGAGGCAGCTCCTAAGCTCCCCAAGATCATTTGCCTCTGTTGAGAGTAGGGCTGGACAATACCTGTTTTTCAACATTGCGATATATCACCAGCTAAACATCGCAATATACATCCATAACTTGACTTCCAAACAGTTTAGTTCTCAAATGTTTTGGCTCCCGAACGCTGCAAACCTGGAAGTGAGTGTTCCAGTTTGTGAACTATTTTTGGAAGCCGAACGTCCAACAGTTTCTGAACATTTTGGAAGTTGAATGGACTTCCAGAATGGATTCCATTCAACTTCTGAGGTACGACTGTACTGATATCTAAGGGTGGAGCTATGTAGAGATTTTGGCTGGCTTCACGGTTTTCCTCGCATCGTGATTTTTGCGTAGCACACACAATCACATTATGATTTGTGATGTATTGCCAGGTCAAAAATTATGAAACCGTTATCACAATATGGATTTGAATTGGTTTTGGCCTAGCCCTAGTTGAGAGTATATGCTACATGGCCACCCCCCAGCCTCCAAACTATCTGTGGGTGCAGTGGGGACAGCTCTCCCATCAACAGTGGCCAAGTGAGAGTCATCTTCCAGTCCAATTGGACTCTGTACATGGAATACAGATGAGGCATCCTTTGCCTTGGGTGGTGGCAGAACCGCCTCGGCCCAGTATACCCGAAATAGCGTCTCCACCCGCATGGTTCAGCCCGGACACTGAGATCCAGCTCATAGGGCCTTCTGGCGGTTCCCTCGCTGTGAGAAGCGAGGTTACAGGGAACCAAGCAGAGGGCCTTCTCGGTGGTGGCACCCACCCATCAGACGTCAAGGAAATAAACAACTACAGTTGTACCTCTACTTATGTATCCCTCTGGATACAGAATATTCAGGTTACGGCCACAGCAAACCCAGAAGTGTATACTTCCGGGTTTCACTGCGCACGCATGCCCAGAAGCGCACAGTCGCACCACACGCGTGCGCAGAAGTGCGCCTCTATTTGCATAATTTTCGGTGTGCTAATGGATTCCCGGAACAAATCAATTTCGTATCTGGAGGGTCCACTGTACCTGACTTTTAGAAGACATCTGAAGGCAGCCCTGTTTCTGGGAAGTTTTTAATGTTTGATGTTTTATCGTGTTTTTAATATTCTGTTGGGAGCCGCCCAGATGGGCGGGTTATAAATTAATTATTATAATTATTATTCTTAATTATTATTTGTGCAAGACCTGCTCTTGGCATGGCAAAATTAGAGGGCAGAGATGAGAACAGGCAAATAATAATAATAGTAGTAGTAGCAGTAGCAGTAGTAGTAGTAAAATTCTACCCCGCCACTCTGGGCTGCTTACAGTATGTATTAAAACATAGTGAAACATCAAACATTAAAAACTTCCAGAAACAGGGCTGCCTTCAGATGTCTTCTAAAAGTGGCATAGTTCTTTATCTCCTTGACATCTGAAGGGAGGGTGTTCCATAAGGAGGATGCCACTACCGAGTTGGAAGCAAGACAGTCAAGCTTTTGCGCAGAGGTAAATTTCAGATGCTGTGGGTTAAACCACAGAGCCTAGGGCTTGCCGATCAGAAGGTCGGCGGTTCGAATCCCCGCGACGGGGTGAGCTCCCGTTGTTCGGTCCCTGCTCCTGCCAACCTAGCAGTTCGAAAGCACGTCAAAGTGCAAGTAGATAAATAGGTACCGCTCCGGCAGGAAGGTAAACGGTGTTTCCGTGCGCTGCTCTGGTTCACCAGAAGCGGCTTAGTCATGCTGGCCACATGACCCGAGCTCCCTCGGCCACTAAAGTGAGATGAGCGCCGCAACCCCAGAGTCGGCCACGGCTGGACCTAAGGGTCAGGGGTCCCTTTACCTTTACCTTAAATTTCAGACAGAACTGCCATCAAGGAGACCTATGGTGGTAGAATGTCTGCCTTGTTCAATCCCAGGTTGAATCCCCAGCCTCCCCTTCTACCTTGGAGAGCTGCTGTCAGCTAGTGCAGGCGGTATAAGGCCTCTTCTTCTGTTCCTGTGTCCAAAACCCAATGCTCTGGGAACAAGCAAGGGTTTGTCAAGCACATTCCAGCTTCTGCTCTCACTCTGCAGGTGCAAGGGAGCCGCAAAAAGGACTAGCCGCTTGCCACGTGCGGTGACTTTGCACCCTTCGCTGGCGCCTGCTTCCCTCTCCTGGTTTTTGTCTCCCAGCATCTGTAAGCTTGCATCTCTTGCAAGCAGGTGCCGCAGCTTCTCTGTGGTCTCTGCTTTTTGGGTCCGAGGCTCTGAGCTGGCGACGTGGCTTTAAAAGAGCATCACGGGAGAGGGAAGAAGAGCAGCTTTCTCTCGGGCTCCTCTGCTTGGGTGTGCAGCCTGTCAATCTTCTTTAAACAGCTGTCTGGTGGCGGTGGGTGGACAGCATTTGCCACTGGTGTGCAGACTTTCTCCTTGAAATGCGTTGGCTCTTTTGGGGGTGTTGACTATTCAGATTGGTTTTCCATTTGTGGGTGCGTGCAGTCTAGGACGGTGGTTTTCCAGACGTGTTTCTGCCATCAGAAATGCGAAACTAGCTTCCCAAGCCATCAGAATCTCAGAAGATTGTAGGGCACAGGGGGTCTCCGTGCTTGGCCTTGACCAAGCATAGGCAAACTCGGCCCTCCAGATGTTTTGTGACTACAAGTCCCATCATCCCTAGCTAACAGGACCAGTGGTCAGGGATGATGGGAATTGTAGTCCCAAAACATCTGGAGGGCTGAGTTCGCCTATTCCTGGCTTTGACCATTGCAGTGGAAAGACCCCAAGGACTCAGGTGTAGTGCCCCACACAAAAGGAGCAGGTACTTTTTATTTTTATTTGCAAAAATATCTGTGCTGCGAACATCAACAATAATGTTGCATTTGCAAAACTAGTACAGGGGTCTCCCCGCTTACGCCAGGGCTACCTTCCCGGGCACTATGTGTAAACGTGAAATTGCCTATATGGTCGTACCTTGGTTTTTGAACAGCTTAGTTCTCGAACATTTTGGCTCCCGAATGCCGCAGACCTCGAAGTGACTGTTCTGGTTTGCAAACTATTTTTGGAAGCCAAACGTCTGATGCTCCTGCAGCCAATTAGAAATGTACTTTGGCTTCTGAACGTTTTGGAAGTCGAACGGACTTCCGGAACGGATTCCGTTCGACTTCCGAGGTACGACTGTAGTGGACAACACCATCTAAAAAGCCAAAGTCCACCAAAAATCAATAAAAATCTGCCAAAGTCCACCGCAGTCACTCTCTCCAAACCTCTTTTTCTCAAACTCCCAACTCTCCACTGGCTTCAAAGGTCGGCGTAAAGGCTCACGGCTTTGCAGTTGCAAAGGCTGCTGGGATTGCTATCTGTTTTCCTGCCCTTTTGGGGCCATTTTTACAGTCTCCCCCCCCCTTTTAGGGGCCATTTTTGCTCTTTTCGTGCCTCTGCGCCATTTAAATAAATTTATTTAATTATTTCCTGGCACCGCACAGGAGACAAGTGCACGTGAGTGGGGAGACACCTATATAAGCTGCAACACAAATCAGTAGAAGGGTCTCAGGACAGCTGGATCCCTTCTTAGGGAAAGACTGGGTGAGCAGATGAGTCTTCTGCAGGTGCCTAAATGTCAGCACTGTAAGTGCCTGCCTGTTCTTTCTGGGAACGCATTTGAAAGGGCTGGTGCCACCACCCTTAAGGCCCTGGTCTTTGTGGGTGCAAGACAAATCTCGGGGGCAAGCGGCCTTACTGAGAGCACCTCTCCCTAGGATTGAAATGACAGGGCAGGGGTGTGACGACGCAAGGCATTCCTGGAGGTAACTTTGGAACTCGCTTCCTTGGCAAATGCCCACGGTGAGAGGGTGTCCCAGAACACCTTGGAAAACCATTGGCCTGGCGATTGAGCAAGGATGGCTCCTGATCGCTCTCTTCTTCCTGACAGCTCCCCTCCCAGCATCACCCGGGTGACGGTCATCTTGCTGCGGTCAAGCTGTGACGTGGCCTACCTCGGCACGGAAGGGGGCGGCATCTACTTCCTGGAACTTCCCGGCTTGACGCTGCAGGAGGACAGGACTCTGTACCAAGACGAAGTCCTGCAGAGGTGAGCTCGCCCCGGCGATGCATCCGAAAGGGTGGGCAGTGCAGTTCTCAGAGTGTAAAGGAAATAGGGGTCTTTCCTAACGACTCTTAGCACCTTTAACAAACTGCAGCTCCCAGAATTCCTTGGGGGGAGCCATGACTGCTTGAAGTGCCATCATAGTGCTTCAAATGTATGGTACGGATGCGGCCTAAGTCGAAGTATGAGACTTCTTACTGCACATCAGTGTAATGCACCATGTTCATATGGTGTGGTTGTTGTATTTTTAAAAAGCAATAAAAATATTTGAAAAGAAGGGCTCGATGACTCACAGGGTCCCTTCCATGCCTGAAATTCTATTGATCTGTTGTTCTCCATCCCTGCCTTTTTATCCTGCAGCGTCCCCGAAGACTACCGATGTGGGAAGGCGCTTGGTCCGGTGGAATCTCTGCAGGAACACCCCAAAGATCCTGCCAAGATCCTGATTGGCTACAGCAGAGGCTTGATGGTTCTTTGGGATGGAAGCACGAGGGAAGCTGAGCACCTCTTTCTGGGCAACCAGGTAACTCTTTTTATTTCCGTTTTTGGGGATTTTTAAAATATCCCGTCTTTCTAAAGAGCTCAAGGTGGCACCCATGCTTCTCTCCAATCTCATTTAATCCCCACCACAACCCTACGAGGTAGGTTAGAGGCAGTGGCTGGCCCCCAAGGCCATGCCCAGTGAACTTCATGGCCGAGTGGGAGATTTGAACCCGGGTCTCCCAGGTCCCCGGCTAATTAACATTCTATGTCCTTTCAAGTGGGGGAGGGGTTACTGTTTTGTTCTTGTACCTATTGTGTATTTTGCTTTTTCGTTTTGTATTTTTACGCTGTTCTTCACCCGAAGATCTCAGGGTGGCATGCAGATTAAATAAATAAAATATACGAATAATAAAATGCCGATGACCCGCCCCCCCTGCTCTAACACGTTCTCTCCCCCTCTGCACTGACCGTTCTGTTGTCCAGAGGCCGTTTTGCCCTTCCCCCTCTCTCTCTTTCTCGCCATTGTGTGTGTCCCAAATGCTTCAGGCCTCACGTTTTGGGTTTCCATCTTTTGCAGCAGCTGGAGAGCCTTGGATGGGAGCGGAGCGGCCAGACAGTTGTGAGTTCTCACAGCGACGGAGGCTACGCCGTGTGGCCGGTGACGGGCGGCTCGCCAAAGACCCTCCAGCCGGCCACCTCCACTATCCCTTACGGTGAGGCTAATGGCTATAGGGCCTCTATCGGCACTTGGTCCAGGCTCTACATGCAGGGAACTTCAGTGTGAAAAAGGGGGAAACCCTCCTTGATGCACAGGTCAAAATCACTTCTCTCCTAACTGTGGTGGAAAAGTGGTGAAAGACTGTGACTCGTGCAATTTGATGTTTTGCTTTGTTGGGAGCCGCCCAGAGTGGCTGGGGCAACCCAGTCAGATGGGCGGGATACAGTGGTGCCTCGCAAGACAAAAAGAATCCGTTCCGCTATTCTCTTCGTCTAGCGGTTTTTTCGTCTTGCGAAGCAACCCTATTAGCGGATTAGCGCTATTAGCGGTTTAGCGGCTATTAAAGGATTAGCGGCTAAGCTGCTAAAAGGCTATTAGCGGCTTAGCGGCTTAGAAAAAGGGGGGGGAAGCGGAAAAAAATCGCAAGACTTGCAAGACATTTTCGTCTTGCGAAGCAAGCCCATAGGGAAAATTGTCTTGCGAAGCAACTCAGAAACGGAAAACCCTTTCGTCTAGCGGGTTTTCCGTCTTGCGAGGCATTCGTCTTGCGGGGCACCACTGTATAAGGTGGTTGTTGTTGTTAGTATTTCCATTTTTCTATCACCTTTTATTAAAAGCTCTCAGGGTGTTCAACACTAGAAACTGGCAGCCGAGGCTGGTCTATTAGGGTAATTGGAAGCGACCCTGAGGGTCATCCAGTCCAACCCCCTGCAATGTAGGAATCTCAACACACGGTCCCCCATCCAGTTTCAAACCATACCAGAACCTGCTTAGCTTTGCAAAGGTTCTAGCGGTTTTATTGCTGCCAATCTAGGTGGTGGTCTTGGCTGTTCACTTCCTCTTCCTTAGTCTCAGAATTGCCATTATAGAATTAAACAAGGGCAGAGGATCAGAGCCAAAAATCAGAACATGTTGGCTCTGGATCCTGGGGCAATGAATCCCACAAGTTCCTCCTACTCCTTTTGCCTGTCCTAAGCCTTACTAGTGTCCTCATATAGGTCCCACATTCTGGTATTGTTTGTGAGGAAGGAGGGGGAAAACTCCCCTTGGTATTTTCATTGTTGTTGTTGCTGCTGCTGAGTGTGGCTAGCCCAAAGGGGCTTTGTGAGCTTCACTGGCCTCAAGAAGACCTTGGAATCGGGGGGTGGGAAGAAATGAGCCAGGTCTTTTTCTTCTGCTTGTGTCTTACAAAGCGAGAACGTCACTCCAAAATCTTCCTCTCCCGTTCTAGGTCCCTTCCCATGCAAAGCTATCAACAAGATTGTCTGGCAGACGTGCGACTCAGGGTAGGTCTCATGTCTGGATTAAGAGTAGATTTTACTCCTTGCCTGTGCACCTCCCGTGCCCTTGGATTTTGCAACCTGTGTGATATTAACATCCTCCTGGCTTCTTTTCTCCTACGGTGCTTTTCTTTTGTGATGGGGCGACCTGGGGGACTCAGAGGACGTTGAAGTTGCGTGGCCTTGTTGCCTGACTGCTGTTTCTAACTCCTGTCTTGTAGGAGCCCCTACATCATCTTCAGTGGGGGGATGCCCAGGGCCAGTTATGGAGACAGGCACTGCGTCACCATCCTGCAAGGACAGACCTTGGTCACCCTTGATTTCACCTCGCGTGTCATCGACTTCTTCACCGTGTGCAACACAGAGGTAGAGGAGGGTAAATACCTTTTGATATTCTCAAACATCTCTCTTATCCCGCGAGGATATGTTTAGACAACAGCAGCCAATCTGATTTGTTGCATCTGTATATCTCGACTTCCCTCCAGAGAGCTCAAAGGTGACCTGCACACTTCTCCCCTCCTCCCCCTGCTTCCCCCTTCACCACAACATCCCTGCGAGGTAGGATGGCCCGAGAGACAGCGCCTGGCCCTAGGCCACCCAGTGTGCTTCATGACCCAGTGGGGATTTGAACCCTGGCCTCCCCAGCATCCTACTCTAGTGCTAATTTACAAATCTGCAGCGTGACCGCGTTTGAAGTATGTTGTGCCGTTCTGGTTGCCCCATCTCAAAAAAAGGGTATTGGCGCTTTTAGAGAAAAGATGAGAAATCCCCATAGAAGTTTATAAAATGATACAGTGGTACCTCGCTTCAGGTTACATACACTTCAGGTTACATACGCTTCAGGTTACAGACTGCGCTAACCCAGAAATAGTGCTTCAGGCTAAGAACTTTGCTTCAGAATAAGAACAGAAATCATGCTCTGGTGGTGCAGCGGCAGCAGGAGGCCCCATTAGCTAAAGTGGTGCTTCAGGTTAAGAAGAGTTTCAGGTTAAGAATGGATCTCCGGAACGAATTAAGTACTTAACCCGAGGTACCACTGTACATGACCCAGAAAAGGTGGGCAGAGAAAAAAGTGTTCCCCCTTATAACACTAGAATTTCGGGACCCCCCCATGAAGCTGGGGTGGCGCTGTGGGTAAAACCTCAGCGCCTAGGGCTTGCCGATCGCATGGTTGGCGGTTCGAATCCCCGCGGCGGGGTGAGCTCCCGTCTTTCGGTCCCAGCTCCTGCCCACCTAGCAGTTTGAAAGCACCCCTAAGTGCAAGTAGATAAATAGGTACCGCTTTATAGCGGGAAGGTAAACGGCGTTTCCATGTGCTGCACTGGTGCCAGCTCGCAAGAGCAGCTTCGTCACGCTGGCCACGTGACCCGGAAGTGTCTCCAGACAGCGCTGGCCCCCGGCCTCTTAAGTGAGATGGGCGCACAACCCTAGAGTCGGACATGACTGGCCCGTATGGGCAGGGGTACCTTTACCTTTACCTTTACATGAACGTTGGCAGATTCAGGAAACATGAAAGAAAGGACTCCTTCACTCAGCATGTGGTTAAACTGCGGAACTCTCTCCCACTGGAGGCAGCCGCCAACTTGGATGGCTTTAGAAACAGGACTAGACAAATTCATGGCTTATTAGCCAGGATGGCTCTGCTCTGTCTTCACTGTCGGAGGCAGCAATGCTGGAAACCACAGGAGGAGACAGAAAGCTCTTGTGCTCCCTTTCTGCTTGCGGGGTTTCCCAGTGATCCACTGTGAGAACAGGATGCTGGACTAGATAGACCATTGGCCAGATCCAGCAGGCTCTTCTTAAGTTCTTAACCACTGCACCACACAGACAAGAACTCCATCGTTCTCTCCCTCTCTGTTTCCTCCATCTCTGCCTCTGTTCCTAAGTGGCCCTCTCTCCTTTCCTCCTCGGTCCTCCCCAAAGTCAATCTGTCCTGGCGCATCTTAACAGGTGCTTTCCTCTCTCTCTCCCTTCCAGAGTTCGACAACCCAACCGCCTTGGTGGTCCTGGTGGAGGAGGAGCTGGTGGTCATTGACCTGCAGACGCCGGGCTGGCCCACCATTCCTGCCCCGTACCTGGCCCCGCTCCACTCCTCAGCCATCACCTGCTCCTACCACATCTCCAACATCCCCCTGAAGCTGTGGGAGAGGATCATCAGCGCAGGAGAAGACCAGAGCCCTCGCCTCTCCTTTGTGGTGAGTTGGCACAGGGACATCCCTCTTTAGGGAAGCTTTTAATGTTTAACGGACTACTGTATTTTAATACTTTGTTGGAAGCCACCCGGAGTGGCTGGGGAAACCCAGCCAGATGGGCAGGGTATAAATAATAAATTATTATTATTATTATTATTAAAGCAGCCTCACCCCCTTTGACCCTCTTGCATCATGGCCAGAGGGGGGTCTCGCTTCCTTTGATGACCCCCTCCCCCCCAAAAAACATGGAGCTGTGCCTAAAGGTAAAAGGACCCCTGACCATTAGGTCCTGTCGTGGCCGACTCTGGGGTTGCGGCGCTCATCTCGCTTTACTGGCCGAGGGAGCCGGTGTGCAGCTTCCAGGTCATGTGGCCAGCATGACTAAGCCGCTTCTGGCGAACCAGAGCAGCGCACGGAAATGCCATTTACCTTCCTGCCAGATCTAATGGTCAGGGGTCCCTTTACCTTTACCTTACTACTACTACTACTACTAATAATAATAATAATACAAGGGCCTTTGCACTCTTTGGCCACAGTTCTCTTTTCCCACGTTTGTCTCTATCTCTCTCTCTTAGCAGAACTGGCCCATCAACGGAGGAAGGAGCCTCGCGCAGGAACCCACCCAACGGGGGCTTCTGTTGACCGGGTGAGTTGCGTTTTGGTTTCTCCCCAGGCTGTCCTCCTCCCATGTAATGTTGTTTGTGCTGAGTGCGAATTTTTTTGCATTGGAAGGCAGAAGGCGGCTGAGGCAGGATGTTGGAGAGCATCCTTCTTCCAAGCTGGGGGCCCGTCAGGTGGTGTTCAGCTGCCGTCAGCAGCTGCCAGTGTGGTGCTGATGAGAGCTGTGGTCCAGCAGGTTCTGGAGGGCGCCAGCTCTGCAAGATTGGGGAAGGGCCACAACTCGGTTTGCTAAACATCTGCCTTGCATGCAGGAAGTCCCAGGTTCAGTTCCCAATAGCTTCTCCTGTTAGGACTCGGAGCGACTCCATCTGAAATCTTGGAGAGGTGCCGCCAGTCAGTGTGTAGACCAGGTTTCCCAAATTTGGATCTCCAGGTACTTTTGGACTACAATTCCCATCATCCCTGGCCACTGGTCCTGCTAGCTAGGGATGATGGGAGTTGTAGTCCAGCAACAGCTGGAGACCTGAGTTTGAGAAACACTGCCCTACAGCTTTGGGGGCTCCCAGGCCTCATCTACACTGCACATTTAAATAGAGGGAATGTTAGATCATACCCTTTTAAAATGTATAATAAGCAATTCCTTTTCATTGCAGTTTATCTGCTTTCAGACCAATTTAAACAGCTTAAGATTTCTTACATTGCTCAGGTCCCCTCTGCACTTTGTGTCTTCGTTTTATTTGGGGTTTGGTTTTTTTTTACAATTACACATCACTATTAATAATAATCTGTGGGTAAAAGCCTCAGCGCCTAGGGCTTGCCGATCGAAAGGTCGGCGGTTCAAATCCCCGTGGCGGGGTGCGCTCCCGTTGCTTGGTCCCAGCGCCTGCCAACCTAGCAGTTCGAAAGCACCCCCGGGTGCAAGTAGATAAATAGGGACCGCTTTCTAGCGGGAAGGTAAATGGCGTTTCTGTGTGCGGCTCTGGCTCGCCAGAGCAGCAATGTCACGCTGGCCACGTGACCCGGAAGTGTCTCCGGACAGCGCTGGCCCCTGGCCTCTTGAGTGAGATGGGCGCACAACCCCAGAGTCTGGCAAGACTGGCCCGTACGGGCAGGGGTACCTTTACCTTTACCTTTTATTAATAATAATAGTAAGAAAACACCTAGCGGTTTATAACAGTGGTGCACAAAATCATACTGCAAAACCCATGTAAAAATGTGTTATAGTTTGAAATCAGCTAACCGTAAGGGACAGATGCTGTCTTAACTGACAGAACAGAAGAACTTTCAGCAGTTTTAAGAAGTTGGAATGCAAGGTGCACCTTGTGTATAAAGCAAGCATAGGCAAACTCGGCCCTCCAGATGTTCTGAGACTACAGTTCCCATCATCCCTGACCACTGGTCCTGTTAGCTAGGGATCATGGGAGTTGTAGTCCCAAAACATCTGGAGGGCCGAGTTTGCCTGTGCCTGGTATAAAGCATTGTCTGGTTTGTGGAAGCGCAAATTTGGAACAGGAAGAGTCCCCCCCCCCTTCTCCTTGGATGTAGTGAGAATCCCCCCCCCTCGCTTCTTTCGCTTTGGCTGCCTCGCAAGAATGCATCAGTTGTCCATGCTGAGGGCTTCCCCTCTCGTTCTCCTCGCCTTCCTTCCCTCTTGGCAACTCCTGAGCTGCTTGGTGTCAAGCGTTACGTGGTCCAGTCTTCACTTTCCCCCTTGGGGAGCGCAGCCAAGGTTTCGCTAGCCAGAGGCAGCAGATGTTCTGGCCCGAGCGGAGGCTTCAAAGGCAGGGAAGTCGGAGCAAGCCGGCCAGATCCTGGCTCGCAGCCAACCTGCGGTGGTCTCTCTGGGCAGGAAGCGGCCCTTTCAGTTCTCGCTTGAGCCGTGAGTTGGGGTCTTTTGGCCACCACACACAAGCCGTTATTCTCTCCGCCCTTCCACCTGCGAAATGGGGATAATCAGTGCGGTCCTACCTTACAGGCATGCTTGCAAGGATTAGAGAGGCCATAATAAACAAAGTGCTTCTTACAACTTGAAATGTGCAATGAGTCACTTGTTATGGGCTGGTTGAGATAGCAGAGTGAGGGGGAGAAGACCAGGGAAATCTATTCCAAAGGGGTGGTTTCTCCTCCCTGTATTTTGCTTCTCCTTCCCAACCGCCGCATTTCCCCTCGTCATGTGGAATGGAGTGCTATAAAGCCCTCCAAGACGCCGTTGCCAAAACCAATTGCAACCTGATCTCGTTTTCTTAGCTCGCTCTCTTTTTCTCTCGCCCGCCAAGGGCAATCTGGTAATATTTGGCATCTGCGCCTCCCGAATTCCTTCAGCGTGCGGAAATAATAAAAAACTGGACTTTTCAGGTTTTGCTTTCGAGGGGCAAAGGAAGAAGTCGGGGAGGAATCAGATGATTGGAAAAGTGTGTTTGCAAAAAGATTGCATCTCCTCTCTGCGCAGGACAGAGTTTGGTTTCATAGTAGGGGGTGAGTTAGCAGAGCTGAATATATTAGCTGTAATACTGTCAAGGACAGAGTTGTGAACATATTGCCACCCCCAGATTCTTGCAGCCAGAATATTTTGTGGGGAAATCACTTTTCTTCTGCCAGTGAGGTCATTTGTGCACCAGTCTGCAGGACGTGTGGGGTGGGTGTGTTGTTGATGCTGCACCACATCAGCTGTCATCCTTGACCACCGTTAATGCTGGCTGGACCTGATGGGAATTGTAGTGCGACAGTACTTGTTGAGCCAAAGGTTAGCCACAACCGGCCAAGGCGTCAGATGAGAGTCTGTAGTCTGTCCCTGCGCAGGAGGAGAAGAGTGTGCAATTTATCCCTTGCCATTTGTAAAATAAATTAATAATAATAATAATAATAATAATAATAATAATAATAATAATAATGCTGCTGCTGCTGCTGCTGCTTCTGGCGACAGGTTCTGCTAGGTTGTGCTACAATAAGCATGCACACCAGATGTGGGGGAAACTCTGGCCCTGCAAGTGTTACTGAGCTTCCACTCCCAGCACTCCACTCCCAGCAAACATGCCCAGGGATGATGGGAGTTGTAGTTCAGCAGCGCCTGGAGGCCGAAAGGTTCCATGCAGCTGAAACAAGTTGCAAGTACTAGTTACAGGTAGGTAGCTGTGTTGGTCTGCCATAGTCGAAACAAAATAAAAAAATCCTTCCAGTTGCAGCTTACAGACCAACTAAGTTTGTTATTGGTATGAGCTTTTGTGTGCATGCACACTTCTTCAGATACAAAGTGTGCATGCACACAAAAGCTCATACCAGTAACAAACTTAGTTGGTCTTTAAGGTGCTACTGGAAGGATTTTTTTAAAAGTTGCAAGTATTCTGCCTTGTAGGATATCTTTGGGAGAAGCAAAGGCTAAGGCAGTGGTGTCCAAACTTTTTTCAAAGAGGGCCAGATGTGATGAATGAAAGGGCCGACCAAAGTTGTTGAGCTGGATTGGGACTGGATTGCACCGACCGGCAGGCCGGATTAGGCCCCCAAAATTAGACTTCGGACATGCCTGGGCTAAGGAGTCAACCCTACACAAATCCGGAGTGGAGTCCCTAAGGCGGTTAGATGGTGCCTTGTACTCCTCCTTCCAGCAACTCCTGCAGCCTAGCTAGCACCAAACGTCTTGCTTTGCTTTCTTTTGGACCACATCAGCGAGGCCGGGGGGGGGGGAGGCTTGACATCTGGGCTGCCCAGGACCTCCTTATACACTGCCCAAGCTTGCACCCTGGGGAGGTCACTTGGGTGCTACTAACACAGCAGTTTGCCTTCACCCTCAGAGGCGTTCTCCATTGCCTCTTGAGACAGATGCCGGCAAATTCCTTCTCGGAACCCAAGCTAAGAGAGTCCCAGGTCGGAACACGAGAAGCTGTGGGAGCAGGCCCATCTAGTTCAGCTTCCTGTTCTCCCAAGTGCCTCAGCTCCGGGGATTCACCAGCTGCGAGAGGGCTTTTGTGGAGTCTCAGGCCTTGCTTGTGGGTTTCCCAGAACGGGCATCTGGTTGGCCACTGCGAGAACAGGAGGCTGGCCTGGCCTGGCTTGACCCAGCAAGACTCTTCTCACAATCTTAGGGATATTTTTCACAACCAGCCTTTGCCAAAAACAACCTTTCCTCTCCACAGGCATGAAGATGGCACAGTCCGGTTCTGGGACGCTTCGGGAGTCTCCCTCAAGCCGCTGTACAAGCTGGGCACGGCCAACATTTTCCAGACGGACTGTGAGCACAACGACAGCCTGAACCAGTCTTGCGAGGAGGACTGGCCGCCCTTCCGGAAGGTACCAACCCCCCCCTCCAAATGCCTTTGCACCGGTGGGTGGGGGGCTCTTTGCTCATTGGGGCAGAGTGACTCCTCTCGTCTCACAGTAGCTCTGTGTCTCTTGAGCTTTGCGGTTCAACAGGTATGGATAGAGATCTTCCCATTGCCTTTCACCCACATCCTTCAGGCCAGACACTTGAGGTTCAGCGCCGAGGGCCTTCTGGCAGTCCCTCACTGTGAGAAGTGAGGTTACTGGGAACCAGGCAGAGGGCCTTCTCGGTGGTGGCACCCGCCCTGTGGAACACCCTCCCGTCAGATGTCAAAGAGATCAATAATTATACGAGCTTCGGAAGACATCTGAAGGCAGCCCTGTATTGGGACGTTTTTAGTGTTTGATGTTTTAGTGTGCTCTTTTATCTGTTGGGAGCCACCAGAGGAACTGGGCAACCCAGTCAGATGGGCAGGGCACAAACAACACACAACAAACAACAACAACAAACAAACAAACAACAATTGTTACTGTTACCTTGCTTGAGGGAGAAATCTTTGTTTTATGCCTGCAGTCCAATAGCAGGTTACCAGTAAGTCCCTCTTCCCTGGGAGTTCTGGGAATTGTAGCTCTTTCAGAGGTATGGGGTGTGTGTGTCTCTGCTCCCTTAACAAACTACAGCTCCCAGGGTTCTTTGGGGGAACTGATGGCTCTTGCAAGCGGCAGGGTACGGCTTTGAATGCACAGTGCTGATGGAGCCACAGAGTAGAGAAGCAGCAAGCTCTGTGTTGATTTCTGCTACGTTGGTACTCGTCTCCCTCTTTTCTAAACAAATTCAGCAATGCATCTTTTAAAATCAGTTCTCTTTTCTAAAAAAGATTTGGCTATTGCTTGTGGAATTGTGCCCCCAAGTGGAGGAAGGGGGTCATTGCAGCTTTTGAGCTGGATGGCTTTGAGATGGACTACTTTCGTAGTCTGAACCTCATCTACTACGTAAAAGTATTTATTGCCTTTTTTTAAAACATTTTTTTTTAAACAAACATTTGCATGCTTGCTCATTGAGTGTAAGGCATCTTTCCCACCCCATGCCCTTTTCGACCCATGGACTGTGGGGAGAGGGGGCAGTGTTTTCAGTATCAACCAGTTTGGGAAACTTTGTTCACGCGGTCTGATGAAACACTGCAGAAAGATGCCCGTTGTGATCTTCTCCTCTACCCCCACCATATGAACACATGCTCCAATATATACAGCACTTGACTGCTTTCTTCTTACAGAGGGAATTGTGTGGCTCTGATCTTCGTATCCTTTGCTTCTCTCTCTCCCTGGAAATGAATGCATGAATATCTGTCTTCCAGGTTGGCTGCTTCGACCCTTACAGCGATGACCCCAGGCTGGGGATTCAGAAGATTGCTCTGTGCAAATACACAGCTAAGATGGTGGTGGCTGGCACAGCAGGGCAGGTAACTGAGAAAGGCGTACTTTTTCTGAACCCCGTGATGCAATCCCTCCTAACCTGCCCACACCTGCCTGGCCCAGAAGCTGCAGCTGGTACCGAAGGCAGCAGCCGGGCAAATGATGAGGGCAGGTGGCCAACAGCATGCCAGACCTCTGCTTAAGCAACTGCACTGCCATGCCGGGTTCCAGGTTATTGTGCTGCTACAGCGGTAGCTTGGTTCTCAAACTTAATCCGTTCCTGTAGTCCGTTCCAAAACCAAAGCTTTCCGAAACCAAGGTGCGCTTTCCCATAGAAAGTAATGCAAAATGGATTAATCTGTTCCAGACTTTTTAAAAACAACCCCTAAAACAGCAATTTAACATGAATTTTACTATCTAACAAGACCATTGATCCATAAAGTGAAAGCAGTAATCAATGTACTGCAGTCAGACAATCAATCAATCAATCAGTAGCTGAACTGGGTTCCACACAGTCACAAAAACAAAACAAAAAGAGCTGCAAAAACAAAAATGCAAAATACAGTGGTACCTCGGGTTACATACGCTTCAGGTTACAGATGCTTCAGGTTACAGACTCTGCTAACCCATAAATAGTACCTTGGGTTAAGAACTTTGCTTCAGGATGAGAACAGAAATTGTGCTCCAGTGGCACGACGGCAATGGGAGGCCCCATTAGCTAAAGTGGTGCTTCAGGTTAAGAACAGTTTCACGTTAAGAACGGACCTCCCGAATGAATAAAATACTTAACCTGAGGTACCACTGTAAATAGGAAAAACAGACAGACCTTAGTGCAACACTCAAAAGGGAAGTGTGGCACTCAAATCGGAGCATGTTCGGCTTCTGCAAAGGGTTCGCAAACCTGAACACTTACTTCCAGGTTTGCACTGTTTGGGTTCCAAGTTGTTTGAGTACCAAGGCGTTTGAGAAACAAGGTACCACTGTATACACAAAGCCCTGAATTACATGGGTCCAGTGTGAAACTGAGAAGCACTTTCCTCTTGTCCCTGATCCCTGTCATTCTGCCCCCCCCCCCGTGGCAGGTGCTGGTGATGGAGCTCGCCGACGAAAAGTCGGAGCACCTGATCAACGTGGCCGTGGTCGACCTCCTCCAGGACCGCGAGGGCTTCACGTGGAAGGGCCACGACCGCCTCGCCCCCAAGAACGGCTCCCTCGCCTTCGCCCCGGCTTCCAGCCCTGCGTCCTCGTCCAGTGCATGCCCCCGGCGGCCGTGACGGCCGTCACGCTGCACTCCGAGTGGAACCTGGTGGCTTTCGGGACCAGCCACGGCTTTGGGGTGTACGATTACTACCGGAGGAACTCTGTGCTGGCCAGGTAGGGGGTGGGGGGGGCAGGGCGAGTTTTAAGGTGAAAGCACCTTCATTTGAATCCTCAAGCAATTCGTATCCGGGCTCAATTCAGAGGGCTGGTTTTGACCCTATAAAGCAGGGGTAGTCAACCTTTTTATACCTACCACCCACTAATGCATCAGATTTTTTTAAATTTAAATGGGGTTTTTAAAATAAAAGGCTTTTGGAGGAAAAATCTTTCTAAAGATAGTTTTCTATTTAAGTTACATTATAGTCCAAAGGCTATTCATCGGGAAATAAGGATTTGTTTTAAGTTTTGCATGTGTGCTGAAACTTAGTTTTAAGTTTTTTTTAAAAAAACAACAACATTTAACCACATCAGTTAACAAACATGGATACATATGCTATAATGTTACTGTTTTAGTTAAATAAGTTGTTTAAATTGTTATTGAGGAAATGATTAGTGGTACCTCGGGTTACATACGCTTCAGGTTACATATGCTTCAGGTTACAGACTCTGCTAACCCAGAAATATTACCTCAGGTTAAGAACTTTGCTTCAGGATGAAAACAGAAATTGCACAGCAGGAGGCCCCATTAGCTAAAGTGGTGCTTCAGATAAGAACAGTTTCAGATTAAGAACAGACCCCCAGAACGAATTAAGTTCTTAACCCAAGGTACCACTGTAACTGTAAAAACTACTCTGAAAATTTATTATTCCAAAAATGAAACCTTCATCTGCTTGTAAATATTAAGATTATACCAGCAAGAATGAGTCTTTCTGTAAAAAAAATTATTTAAATCAAGTCTTACTGACTAGTGATTTCAATTGTGATTTCAATCGATTTGATTTAAATCAAATCCACCCTTCTGCTGTCTCTCAAACAGGTGCACGCTGCACCCCAATGACTCCCTCGCCATGGAGGGGCCTCTTTCTCGGGTGAAGTCCCTGAAGAAGTCTCTCCGGCAGTCCTTCCGCAGGATCCGAAAAAGCAGGGTGTCCGGGAAGAAGAGGGTCAACACCAGCAGCCCCTCGAGCAAGGTGAGTGGACTGGGGCGCGTGCCCAGTTAGGAAAGCTGCGGGTTCGAGTTCTGGGTTAAACCCTAACAAAGGTTTAGGACGGAAGGGAAGGAGGGAGGAAGGAAGGGAGAGGGAGGTTGAGGTTTTGGGACTGGTGTGTAGACATGGCAGCAGAAAGGGAAGGGAGCCTTTTCGTTTCCCAGTTTCGGGGGAGAGATGCTTCTTGGAAGGGGCTGAACCTCAAAAGGCCCTGATTGGAGAAAGGGGAAATGGCTCCCAAAAGGAGTCTGGCAAAGGCAAAAAATGGAGTGCAGAATAAATAACAACAACAACAACAACAACAACGATAATTTTATTATTTATACCCCGTCCATCTGGCTGGGCTTCCTCAGCCACTCTGGGCGGCTTCCAACAAAATATTAAAATACAGTAATCTGTTAAACATTAAAAGCTTCCCTAAAAAGGGCTGCCTTCAGATGTCTTCTAAAAGTCTGGGAGTTGTTATTCTCTTCGACATCTGGTGGGAGGGCGTTCCACAGGGCAGGTGCCACTACCAAGAAGGCCCTCTGCCTGGTTCCCTATAATTTTGCTTCTCGCAGTGAAAGAACCACCAGAAGGCCCTTGGCACTGGACCTCAGTGTCCGGGCAGAACAGTGGGGGTGGAGACGCTCCTTCAGGTATACTGGACCGAGGCTGTTTAGGGCTTTCAAGGTCAGCACCAACACTTTGAATTTTGCTCGGAAACGTACTGGGAACAGCTGCCGGTCAAGATAAGCAGCATTGGGCTAGATCAGGGGGAACCCTTTGGTTGTTGCTGGCCTCTGACTGACTCCCAGTGACCCCCAGCCAACAAGGCCAGTGGTCAAGGGTGAGTCAGAATCCAGCAGTCTCAAGAGGAGAACAGAATAAAAAGATAAACGGAAGATAAAAATGGGGCCATAAGTCCTAGTTGAGGATGGATGGGGAATGTGATATTGTAGAGCAGGGTGGCACGGAAATGTTCTTGAAGCATCACTCGAACTGTTTCTCATCCCTGGCGATGGCTTGACATGAATCTGCCTCCTCTCCTCTTAACCCCGTCAGGTGCAGGAGGCAAATGCCCAGCTGGCTGAGCAGCCCGGCCCCCACGAGGTGGAGATGACCCCCGTCCAGCGGCGGATTGAACCCCGCTCGGCCGACGACTCGTTGTCGGGAGTCGTGCGCTGCCTCTACTTCGCTGATACCTTCCTCCGAGACGGTAAGGAGGAGGAAGAGGTGCAACGCGGGGGGAAAGGGACCGGAGTCCGGGATGGTTGGGACTCTACTGCCCAACAGTCCCAGACACCCATGTGGATGATGGGAGTTGTAGTTTGACAGCGCCTGAAGGGCATCTAGTTGGGAAAGCCAGGCAGCATCAGTCCTGGAATTGGTCACTTGCCACGTTTAAAAGGCAGTTTATTCCGCTCTCACTACATTTCGCTAACTCTTAGTTCTATATTTGAGCTTTCATGCGATGCAAAAGCCACTTCTGGAACTTACAGTGAAGTAAAGCGCAACTTTGGTGCTCGTTTTCGTGTTACTTGCCTCCAGAAAAAACACAATCATTTGCAAATACAGTGGTACCTCTGGTTAAGAACTTAATGCGTTCTGAGAGTCTGTTCTTAATCTGAGGCACCACTTTAGCTAATGGGGCCTCCTGCTGCCGCCGCACGATTTCTGTTATTATCCTGAAGCAAAGTTCTTAACCCGAGGTCTGGGTTAGTGGAGTCTGTAACCTGAAGCATCTGTAACCTGAAGCTTTTGTAACCCGACCACTGTAATATGGAAATGAGCGCTAAACTTGTACTATGTTCCACTATAGTTCCACTATTATTACTATTAATAATAATTACATTTCTATACTGCCCTTCACCCAAAGATCACAGAGTGGTTTGCAATATAAAAACTCAAAAATAAGGTTCTTGGCCCTTAGAATCGTAGCACTGAGAGGGACCTGGGAGGTCATCCATCCCAGCCCTCAGCTCATTGCAGGATGCCTTCTCTCACTGCCTGTCTTCCCTCCCCTCTTCCCCCCCCCCAGCTGCGCATCATGGGCCCACCATGTGGGCCGGCACAAACTCTGGCTCGGTGTTTGCCTATGCCCTGGAGGTCCCTTCGCAGGAGAAGTTTTCCGAGCGCTCGGTGGAGGCGGTCTTGGGCAAGGAGATCCAGCTCATGCACAGAGCGCCCGTGGTGTCGATCGCCGTCTTAGACGGCCGGGGGAACCCTCTGCCGGAACCGTACGAGGTCTCGCGGGACCTGGCCAAAGCCCCCGACCTGCAGGGCAGCCATTCAGTGCTCATCGCCTCAGAAGAGCAGTTCAAGGTAATCCCGAGGGAGGGGCAGAATCTCTAGCCATGTGAGAAAGTTATTTGGGTATCTAGTGCCCTTGGGGGCCACTGGCACCTCAATCTTACGAGGGCTGAGTCGGGGAGGTTCATGAAAAGTGTCCTCAGCAGTCCTTTTTTTTTTTTTTTTGAGAGGGGGTGTGCTGAGTTATGAACAAGGCCAAAGGTGACCGCTCATTCAGAGTGAAGGCAAAGCATTGCCCTCTCTCCCAATTGTCTGCCTGCCAGCTGCTTCTGTCTCCACATCCTCTGTGTCAGTGCTGCCCTTGTAGAGCGTGGCAGCGAAGAGGATAAAGACAAAACTGGAATCGGTTGGCTCTGCCTGTCGCTGGTTCTCTGGCGCCACCTACTGTTGAGCTCCCTGCCTTCTGCCCTACCAGTAGCAATAGGCACCAGGCTGATCCTAACAAAACCTGGGTGGGTGCTGTTGTCCTGCAAGTTTGGCAAGGGGGCTGCTATTTTGCCTTGAGCTTCTGGGAACGAGAGAGAAGATGCAGTTCTTTCAGGGGAAATAAATTAGTTTTCTGAGAACCAGCTCCCTCCTGAGCCAGGGAGGGCGGAGCTTCGGCTGGGCGGAGCTAAAGCCTTGCATGTCCTCCTTGCGCCCTCCCCCCACTCACTTCCCGCTGTCTCCCACTCCAGGTCTTCACGCTGCCCAAAGTCAGCGCCAAAACCAAGTTCAAGCTGACGGCCCACGAGGGCTGCCGGGTACGGAAAGTGGGGCTGGTGAACTTTGTTAGCGCGGCGTGCGAGGACTACGCAGAGAACTGCCTCGCCTGCCTCACCAACCTTGGGGACATCCACGTCTTCACGGTGCCCGGTCTGCGGCCGCAGGTGCACTACGACTGCATCCGGAAGGAGGACATCAGCGGAATCGCCTCGTGCGTCTTCACCAAACACGGGCAAGGTGAGCCCAGAAGGAGCAAGGAGGCAACGTGGGGCAGGAGGAAGACTTAGACCCAGAGGGAAAGAGGGGGCACCGTGGGGCAGGGACACTGAGACCTGGAAGAAGCAGGGAATGATGAGGCACTATGGGGTTGAGCTAAGGTAAAGGTAAAGGGACCCCTGACCATTAGGTCCAGTCGTGGCCGACTCTGGGGTTGGGCGCTCATCTTGCTTTATTGGCCGAGGGAGCCGGCGTACAGCTTCCGGGTCATGTGGCCAGCATGACTAAGCCGCTTCTGGCAAACCAGAGCAGCGCACGGAAACGCCGTTTACCTTCCCGCCAGAGCGGTACCTATTTATCTACTTGCACTTTGACTTGCTTTCGAACTGCTAGGTTGGCAGGAGCTGGGACTGAGCAACGGGAGCTCACCCCGTCGTGGGGATTAAAACTGCTGACCTTCTGATTGGCAAGTCCTAGGCTCTGTGGTTTAACCCACAGTGCCACCCGCGTCCCTAGGGGTTGAGCTAGTTAGAGCTAAAAAAAAGCAGATTGAGAACTTGCCCCTGGGGTGGGGCAAGTTAGACCGGGGTGATCAAAGAGTTGGAGCAGGCGAAGGGGCTGGGGGCTGTTTAGGTTGAAGCAGCCTTCCAGATATTCTGGGCTTCCAACTATCAGCCCAAGCCATCACAGTTGTGAACACTCTTTTTATTTTTATCTTTTGGGATTTATTTGGTTTTTCAGATTAAAGTTTTACAATCACATATCCAACATACAACAATAAAACAACGATTCAAGGAATCTCCTGCACTTCCCTCCTTCCCTTCGTGGGTCCTATTGTCAATCATTTCCTCCTGCATCTTTTATGATAATCCAAATCTTTTACATCTCCACTATGTCCAAGTGTTATTCCAATCCTACAAAGATTTTAGCTGCTTGCAATGGTTTTTAAGATAAATTATAAATTTCTCCCATTCCTTATTAAAATTTTGGTATTCCTGATTTCTGATTCTTCCGGTCATCCTAAACCATTTTGGCATAATCCATCAATTTACAGTAATCTGCCATTCTTCTCTGGTAGGGACTTTATCTTCTTTCCATCTCTAGGCCAATAACATCCACAAAGCTGTGGTTGCATACATAAGTAGTCCTTTCTGCTCTCTTGGGATTTCGGCACCTAAAATTCTTAAAAGAAAGGCTTCGGGTTGTTTTTTTTAGAAAAGGTTATTTTAAACATTTTTTTCAACTCATGTATCGTTTCCCAATCATTTCAGTTGTGAACGCTTTCATTTGAACGGTCAGATTTTTTTTAAAAAGATCAGTGCACTGCAATAAAAGTTGTCCTGTTTACCCATAAAACCAGAAGGAAAACCTACAGTCAGTGTAGTAAGGGAAGTGGATTCTGCTGGTGGGGCCACGTGACTCCCATCGGGAACAGAGACTGATCAGTGTTGGCTCCCCCATCTCTTTTTTCAGGCTTCTATTTGATCTCTCCGTCGGAGTTTGAGCGATTCTCCCTGAGCACCAGGAATATCACGGAGCCACTGTGTGGGCTGGACACAAGCCGTGTGCACGACTCCACCTGCCTCGGGTAAGTGCAGCTCTTTAAACAGCAACAGTGGCTTTGAAGGAAATGATTGGAGTACCACCGTGACTTCAAGTGCAGGCAAAATATTTCACGGTAGAGGGGAAAACTTGTTTTATACATAGCTGGGCTGTCTGCAAACCTGAAGGGGAAGCTTTGTGTATACAGTCAGGATGCTGTTGCTTTGCTGAACTGCAGCGGGCACAGAATTCTGCTTCCTGAGAATCTTGGATCCTTTTAAAAAAAGAGAGTCAAGTTTCTAGTCCTTAAAGAGGAAGATGCTTGGAAGTGTTGAGTTATAGAAATCAGTTAATGCCGAAGGGGGAGAAATCACGCAAGTATGTTCAATTTGCATATCTTGTGCAGGCTGCAGGATTTGGCGTGCCTCACTGCAGAAGATTTTAATTGTCTTTGCTATCATGATCAGATGTTTGTTGTTCCTTCGCATGCAGTAAACACAACCTTGGCTATAGACAGAGCAGCGTGCGTGTTAAAACGTTGACCCTCGGTTGCAAACCAGAGGCGTTGCGAAGTCTGCACGGTTGACAATTGCTCTGTCCCAGCTCCTGCCAACCTAGCAGTTTGAAAGCACGCCAGTGCAAGTAGATAAATAGGTACCACTGTGGCGGGAAGGTAAATGGCATTTCCGTGCGTTCTGGCACTCGTCACGTCCCGTTGCACCAGAAGTGGTTTAGTCATGCTGGCCACATTACCCCGAAAGCTGTCTGTGGACAAACACCGGCTCCCTCAGCCTGAAAGCGAGATGAGCGCTGCAACCCCATAGTCGTCTTTGACTGGACTTAACCGTCCAGGGGCCTTTAGCTAATGCCTCTCACTTTCCTGAATGGAGGCTGAAGAGTCTCAATTTTTGTTGGGTGGGATGTACCACATTGTACGGAGGGAAGAAATCACCTCTTGCTCCACCCACTTTGCTTTTGGCCCCACCCACTTCCCCCTCTATCCCCGCCCACCAGCGGAATGTGGCCCCCGAAATGTTGCTGAAGAAAGGATGCGGTCTCCCTGGGACGAAAACTCTTCCTCTCTCCCAGTTTAAAGCCTGCCTTTCCTCTCTTCATACCACAGTTACTTTTCGCTTGAGGGGTCCTCACTGTTGCTATTTTGATTTTAAAACGTGCTATTAACTAATTGCCTGAACGATGTCATGTCCAGCCTGGTAACAATAAAGGCTTCTCCCTTGTCATTTCAGGAACAACTTCACAGCAACGCCGAAACTGAACCAGGCCAACGGGACTCACGTCCTCCAAGGATCAGAGGCCAGCCATTCCCTTGCCAGCAGCGACCGTAAGGGAACGGCCCCATTTCCTAATCAATATCAGGGAATAGTGAACAAAATGGCTTCTTCTGATTTTGCTGCCTCTGCTGCAGTTCTGATGTAACCTTTCCCAATAGCTTGAGGGGAAAGTTCAACCGCTCGGTTTCAAAACTGCTTTATCCTCGCCAGGCTGTTCCACTGAAAAACGTGAATTCCACTCTTTGAGAAAATTGCAAGTTTTTGTAAGAAGTTTCATTTCTCTAGGGTCATGCCTGCACCATACATGCAGAGCGCTATGGCAGTGCTTTATACAGCCGTGGCGTCCCCTGAGGAATCGTGGGAAATGTAGCTTATTAAAGGTGCTGAGAGTTGTTTCCCTCACAGAACTACAATTCCCATCATTCTGATACTGACTGTTAAGTTGCAGGCCTGCTGCTGCTTCCTAGGGAATATTTCTGTGCTCTCCACTCTCCGAATGTCAGCTGCTGGGACTCACAAGTGGAGAGAGCGCTGTGGTGCTCAGGTTTTGTTTGGGGCAACAGTGCCCTTGAAGGACCAGATGCACAGCCTGGGAGTCATTTTGGACTCACAGCTGTTCATGGAGGCGCAGGTCAATTCTGGGTTCAGGGCAGCTGTCTACCAGCTCCATCTGGTATGCAGACTGAGACCCTACCTGCCCGCAAACTGTCTCGCCAGAGTGGGGCATGCTCTGGTTATCTCTCACTTGAACTACTGCAACGCGCTCTACGTGGGGCTACCTTTGAAGGTGACCTGGAAACTACAACTAATCCAGAATGCAGCAGCTAGACTGGTATCTGGGAGTGGCTGCCGGGACCACATAACAACCGGTCCTGAAAGACCTACATTGGCTCCCAGTATGTTTCTGAGCACAATTCAAAGTGTTGGTGCTGACCTTGAAAGCCCTAAACAGCCTTGGTCCAGTATACCTGAAGGAGCGTCTCCACTCACATTGTTCGGCCTGGACACTGAAGTCCAGCTCCAAGGGCCTTCTGGCGGTTCCCTCACTGTGAGAAGTAAAGTTACAGGGAACCAGGCAGAGGGCCTTCTGGGTGGTGGCGCCCACCCTGTGGAACGCCCTCCCACCAGATGTCAAGGAGGTAAAACTATCTGACTTTTAGAAGACATCTGAAGGCAGCCCCTGTTTAGGGAAGCTTTTAATGTTTGATGTTTTATTGTGTTTTTAGTATTCTGTTGGGAGCCGCCCAGAGTGGCTGGGGAAACCCAGCCAGATGGGTGGGGTATAATTAATAAATTGTTGTTGTTGTTGTTGTTTGTTTGTGGGTTTCTGCTAATGACCATATGGTGAGGACAGGAGACTGGAGCAGATGTAAGGGCCTTTATTCTGATCTGTCAGCGCTCCTCTAAGGTTCTTCCCCCTTTCTCCAACCCTCAGGGTCTCCGGATGAACACCAAGCTTCTTTCTCTCCAACGCCAGTGGATTCACCGAATAACAGCATCGACACCCCACTGGATACCACCGGAGACATCACCGCTGAGGAAGTGAAGGATTACTTGGCGTAAGTCTCCACCCTCATCTTAGATCTATCTTTATCTAGCCATTCCATCAGACTGCCTCTGTGGGAGGGAGAGAATCAATCATAGAAGGCGCACCAAGGATCATCTAGTCCAACCCCTTACCATGCAGGAAACTTTTGCCCAATGTGGGGCTTGAACCCACAGCCCTCAGATTAAGAGTCTCATGCTCTACTGACTGAGCTATCCCAGGCTCGCTCCCATCAGCTTATCCAAAAGCCCAGTCCCTGAACTGTGCCAGCTTGTCAATAGAGGAACAACTGTTTAGAAATTGGTGTCTGGGTTTTGGTTTTTCCTCTTCCGTCCCTGTCCCTTTCCCCTTGTGTGTCATGGGTTTTTTCAGATTGTAAACCACCTTGTTTTGATTGTATGTAAGCTGCCCTGGGGGCCTTTTTGGCTGAAGAGCCAAATGCTCTAATATATATATTAGAACAAATGTTCTAATATATATATGTTTATCTATCTATATATAAACTACATGGCATGATGATGGGAAGACCTGATAACTTCGCCTTAAAATCTGTGAAATGGGCGAGGAGTAAACCTAAACAAACCATTCCAGTGATTGTTATTTAGTTTAAAATGTCTTTTTTCTAATTAAAAAAACGTTACGGTTGATAATGCTTGGTTCCCCTGATTTGGATACTGAGAGGAAAGTCTCCCTGTTCAGTTGCAGTATATCCCCAAATGCTAGGGACAAAACGATAACCATCTCTGCCATGCCCTGGGTTCTGTGAGGCAAAAGCACAGACTGAAAACATTTTAAATAAATAATGTTAAAACCCTGATCTCTCGCAGGCCATCGGAGGAAGCAGAGAGAAATCTGAGGAACATAAATGAGGACGAGGCTCGTTCCCCAAGGATCTTGATCAAATGAGGTACGTCCTGTGAAGAGAAAAGAGTCAGGTTTCTAGGCCTCAGGTCTTGCCTACATAATTTTTAAGCCTATTTTTTGTTTTCAGAGGATAAGGTTGAGGGGTCTGAGTAGAATGGGGGTTCTGGTTTAGACTTCAGGGCTTAGCATAGGTCCGTGGCAAGAAACCACATTAGACCTGCAAGTCCCCTGGATTTGACCCGGGAGTCTATTTTGGGTGAAACCCCTTCGCCTTTCCCACACCTGACACCAGCTGTGGCAGCAAAGGCAGGTTCTTCCTTTGCAGCTGCAATGGGAATCTTTGCGGCCCTTAATGAGAAACGCCTGACATCACGTGACATGTCCCTGAAGTCATATGGCAGTCAGGTGACTCACTGCCATATGACTTAATGGTGTGCCTGCCTGCATGTAACCCTCTTTCGGTTAACAGCAGCAGAGCAAATTTTGCAACGCCAATTTGACTTAAACCTATTGCAGGTTTGGATAGGGTTGCCATATTTCAAACAGTGAAAAGAAAAACGTTTTTTGGCAACATTGTTGAGATTTTTTTAGTTTTGCCCAAAATGGTTGAGCTTCTTTCCCGCCAAAAATGCCCTTTTCTGCTGTACATCCGGATTTTCCCAGACAAAAATCTGGGAAATTCCAGATGTATGGCAACTCTAGGTTTGGATAACGTTTTGATCCTACTGATTCAGTTTCTTATTCATTTTATTGCCATTGCAATGTTTTGGGTTTTTACTAGGCAACTTGAAAACTAGGCAGAGAGTGTAGGCTTTTCAAAATAAGGAAACTGAAGTTTTGTAAGTGGATGTGTCTAGTTGCAGAATATCCAGCTCATAATTCTGTGTTCCTTCTGCAGGTACCACACAAGGTCCCATTGGCCTGTTTTGGCGCTCGACGCTCCCCCAGGGACAAAAGACTTTTGACTGTGTGGTAACAGACCGTTGGTCTTTCCTATTCCTCTCCTTCCAGAGACCCTGTTCTGCATTTTCTTCCTTTTTCTTAATTACAAAGAGTCATAACGTTTTTCTACCGCACGGCCTGGAAGTGGACTCATGAGGAAGATTTCTTCGTGTTGGGGGTCTCCCCTATCACCTCTTCCTCGGTACCTCTCCCAAGTTTGCAATCACCAACTTCTTCTTTTTGGAAAAAAAATGAAGAAAAGGAAAATGTGCCAACTTCTTCGACAGGACCAAGTTGTCTCTTCCGTTGCACAAAAAACACACACTAAAACTCTTAAAACCTTTTCCTAAAAAAGCAAAAACGAGACACAAGGTGGGCGCATGGGAGGGGCCTGCCTGTGGCGTCAGGATTCCACCGAGACTGAACCAGCCTCTCTTTGGCCGAGGTATCAGCATCAAACTTTGCACGAAAAAGGAGCCTTTTTTAGATATATACAGACACACTTGACGGATGGTTTTGTTTCTGCTTCCTGGTACACCTCTCTGAAACCTCTTGGGATTGAGTGGCTGAATTGCTCTGTTTACATACTTCCAGATTCTCCTTTCCCCCTTTTTTCTGAGAGCTTTTCCCACCCCATCCCACCCTACTTCTGGCAACTTCTTGCATCAGCCGGCTGGGGAAACAGGCCTTGATCTTATGGCAAAATGCCTCCCACTTTTGCGGTGCTAGCGGGGAACTCTTTGGAGAAGAGCCCAACCTGAAGAAATTCTTTTGTAATACTGGCGGAAAGTTGTTATTTTGTTCTTGGCTTGCAGAGAACATTTTGTCTAGCTGGGCAGAAGGGTTTTCTTTCAGCGGCGCAGCTGTACAAATTGGGTGCGCAAGAGGCAGGTTTTCGGGAAACGGATCTACGAGGAAACCCACCTGCAGCTGCACATCTTCCCTCCATGTGGTTGAAGTTCTAACCAGCCGCTCAAGAGAGCTCTTGTTACCTCTGCATGGCTGCAAGCTTCGCACCGATTAAGAAAACGTCCGAGTGAATTTCCTGCGTCTCCTGTTTGATGGCGTCCCCTGATCCTCCTTTTCTAGGAACTGTGCATTTTTTTAGGGTGGGGGGAAGGAGGAGGAGAGGTACATGAAGGGACACTGGAAATATGGAACTCATAAAGTACAAGTGTTTGCATCTCGCACTGCAGTGCTCTTTAGGAGCTGTGCCATTTGCTTTCTCAGCCTTATCTGAAAGGATGGCCTTCAAGGTGTTGTGAGACGACATCTCCCATCACCCCTGACCCTTGGCCTTGCTGGCTGCTGGGAGCTAAGAGTCGAGCAATATTTGGAGGGTCACAGGTTCACCCCCCCCCCGACCCAAGGAGCATTGGGTCCAGTAATTACCACAAGGCAGCAACTTCCTTCCTGAAATTTTGGCTTGCTAATTTTGACACCTTCTGTTTGATGCCAGCCCTGTGACCCATGTATAGAGCAATGACGTGGCAAAATACTCAGATGACATGCCTTTTATTTCTTGCCGAGTGATCTTCAGGTGGGTTTAGGAAGCAGGCTGGTATGCCGTGGGACTTTGGCGGCAGGTTCAAAAGTGTACTGCTATGCACACGTGGCCCTGTGGTGACACATTTATTACATTATATTTCTGCTGGTTGGTTGGCGAGAGTTATGATCATGCACTGGTGTTTGAAGCCAGTGAGTTTAACACAAGCAGCTAGATCTGTTTTTGTTTTTTTGTTTGCCTAGTGTGTTATTATTTACTCCTTGTCTCCTCCTTTTGCCGCCTCTTAAAATCTCCCCCCTTAACAGAGAGAGGGGAATCTGTGCCTTCCAGATGTCCAGCCATCATGGTCAGGGATGATGGAAGTTGTGGTCCATCGACATCCGGAGAGCCCAAGCATCTTCGGTGCATCTGTCAGGCAGAGAGGCTGCGACACCTTGTTTCCCCCACCTGATTCTGTCCCTCGTGTCACATTTTCATTTATTTATGAATCCTGAACTCGAAAGGGCTCCAAGTCACCAGCTCCAGCCCACCCTCTGAAAACAGCTGCCGAATCCTGTTTTGCCATTAAAAGGCAGCCTTTCTTTTCCAGCCAAGCAGTGGGATGTTGGAAATCTGTAGGACCTTATTTGTGTCGAAAGGTGGGACTCTCTTCCCAGCCCCTGGAGTTTTGTAATCCGCTTGAGGTTTTTTGGAGAATGGATTTGGAGATGGTTGCATGCAATGACTACTTCAAGTCGTGCTCTCCTGTGTTTGGGTGAGCCACCTAAATCATCCAGCTGCATCTTGCAAGGGGCTACGCCTGGACTTACCCCTCTTCCTTTGCCTGTGGAAAGCCATGTGCTTCTCGCAGGTGGGCGGAGTGTGTCAGGCAGCCTTTAATACGGGGGTGGGGAACCAGCATCCCTCGAGATGATGTTGCACTCCAATTCCCATCATCCAGCATGGCCCTTGCTCGAGAATGATGGGCGTTGCAGCCCAGCAAACACTTGGAAGGCCCAGAATTTCCTCCTCTACCTCTGCTTTAATAAGCAGTCATCACCTACCTGTGTTTCTTTGGCATTACCTCCTGGCAGAAGCTCTGGGCCTTTGCAGCATGTTTTGTGGCCAAGGTAACCTTTGCAGCAACGAAGTACTGAGTTCTGGTCTTGGCTTGTTCTGTTTCTTTCTTCTTTCGCTGAGGTCTTACAGTACGAGTTGTTTCCTCGTTTTTTGTTCCCACCGCTGACATTTTGGTGCCAAGAAAAGTTTGGCCAAGTGGGAGAGAGGGGAGCCAGCCGCTATATATATTTGTAAAATTGGATTTCGGACAGGTACAGACGCTGGCTCAGGCCTGGAACACGGAGCGGCTTTCTCCAACTGGGGCTTCTGGGAGTTGTAGTCCAGAACATCTGGAAGGCAGCAAGTTGGCGAAAGCTGGTATTAAGTCTTAAAATAGTGCGGGCTCTGCCTTAGATTGTGGCTGTCTGTTCCATGCGTGGGATCATTTCCTCGCTGCTTAATGCCCAGACGTTGCCTCCTGATAATGACGTTACATGAAACTCTTTGTCAGACTTTTTTTTTTTTGGTACGGTTTGATTCCTCGCACCCTCCCCCCAAAACCCAGGCGTGCATGTGTGAGTGTGTGATTTTGCACGGGTGCGCATGTTTGTGAGCGAATGACAGAGCGGAGTTCTATAGTGGAAACGTGCCATTGTGTGTCTTAATTTTTTTTTTTTGGCAGACTTAATTGAGGAAGGGAGTTGGGGGGGGTTAGTTTCCTTGGTAGAATGTACCCTCTCTGTTGGGACCTTCTTTGTTTTGCTCAGATGACGGATTTAGCATTGTTTAGTTATTAATACAGGTTTTTAATAATGGAAAAAAATAAAGCATTTAATAATATCTTAAGCTTATGTGTGGCTTGTTGTTCCAGGTTCCCTGTTAATTGTGGGTTCACGGTGACTTTGTGCTCATGATGGTATTGGAGGAAGCTAAATGTGATCAATACTGTTTTGTGTCTGCAAAGCATTCACAATATACAGCTTGGTTTCCAGTCCGTTCTTAACCTGTAGGTCCCTGCAGAAAATCCTGCAGCTGCTTATGCCAAAAACATTCTGTTTTATTTTTTAAGTCTCATGTTTTGTTGTGCTAGGGTGCCCTTCCAGATGGGAGTGATGCAATAGCAATGGGGAAAACATCACAGAACAGCTAAGCGAGTGGAATGTGCGGACAGCCATGTTCAAACGCACCTTGAATCATGATGTCAGGCCACTGATAGGTGGGATCCAGTTCCCCAGCCCCATTTCACAGGGTAGTTGCTGCCATCCGAGGTCACAAACGTAGCCAGAGCGTACCTCTGGGTTTCTCTTTGCCTGATGCCCTCCTGATAAGTTTTGAACTCCCATTGCTCCCAGGTAAGCCTGGGTGATATCAGCTTTCCAACATTGTGATGTATCAGCAGCCAAATTTCGTGATTATACAGACACGTCGCGATGTTGAAAAGCGGAAGGAGGAACAAACAGTGTCAGCCCCACGAAGGACCGGGGTGAAACTGCAGCTGCCAGTCCCCGGTACAGGGAGGAAGGAGGCAGTGGGAACTTCCTGCCTTCTGAAGGGGGTAGACAAGGGTGGCTTTGAGATGGTGGCAGTCGTCCCATGTGCTGCTTAGGTTAGAGGCTGTTTGCAGCACCCACTGAAGAGCCAAGCAGATTAAGGACCCACCTTATAATAGATGGAGATTAGCATGGACATGACCTAGAACAGGCCAAATCCTTTTTGGGGTGGGGGGAAGCTTTTGCAGCTGAAAAGGTTCTCCCTTTCTGACACAGAAAATTCAGTGTAAAGGGGGCAACACTTTAAAATGTTACTCTGCTGGAAATAAGCAATATTATGAAAGACCAGGCCAGTCACCAAAACATGAATGTAAAATATCCACAATTTCCTCCTTCCATACAGGAATTCTGCAAGATACTAACCTATAAAAGGACAACTGCAGCAATTGCATGGTAGGTTTTTATAGATAAAAGGTATGCCTGCCTTTTCCTCAAAATGCACAAGTCACCATACATTTCAAAGGAGACATTTTTTTGCATCCATGAGGTCTAGCAGCAGATAACAACTTTTAAAAGCAATAAACTCGATTTTATTTTATCTGATTTTTAAAATGGACTTCTCCATCACGGTTTTTCCTGAAGTCTTTTAAGTGCACTGCGAACTCTTTTGCCCAAGTTGAAGGCGCCAGTCGTCTCACTCCTCTGCCCTGCCTACCACAACTTACTTCAAAAGAGACAGGCCATCCGTTTGCAGGAGAGAGGTTGCTGTTACAGACTTCAAACTGGGTCCAGGCTGCAGTGCTCTCAAAGAGCAGAATAAGAAGTCGCAGCTCACGTGTGTTCTGTTAAATATACTATATAAAAAAGATCTCTGTGCAAGTGGGAAAAACAACATAGTGATGCTGTAGATGTGGGAAGAGTCCCAGCGGCAATGTTTTCGCAAGAGTGGGTCCAGGCAGCATCTATTTCACTGCCCCAAGGTAGTGAGGAGAGAGAAAAATTGAGGTGAAAAGTGGTTTGTAAAGGGGGGGTTGGGGAGCTTAATAGGCTGGTGCTGTTTCTTTAAAAGGGGAGGGGCAAATTCTAGCTCCTCCTCTAGTAACATTTTGTCCAATCAGCTGGTCTTAAAAAAAAACAACCAGGATACAGCTGTACCGCCCCTACTTGAGCACTGAGGTCCAGCAGGTGCCATAGAGTCCCATGGAGAGGCCACCGCCATCAGCGAGCGGCTTAGGCCAGAGGCTTCCGGAAAACGCTCCAGGCATGGAAGCAGCGGGTGAAGGCAGGTGGTTCGTTGCCTTTCCGAACCAGGCGCAGTTTCCGCGGGTGAGCTGTGTCCTTCGAGCGCATGTGCTGGATGTATACCTGCGGAGAAACCGGGGGAAAGTTCAGAGCAGGAGACAACAAAATGCTGGCTCCCTACACCACACATATAAAAAGGATGGATTAGGCTGCCAAGGGCTTGCCAGCCCCAATACTACCTCTGCTGAGCCTGTCCCGCTATCTTCAAGTTTAAAATTTGAATTTAAATATTTTCATTTCTTTTTATTTTAAGCATTGCTGCTCAGCCAAAAAGGCTCCCAGGAGCAGCTTAATGTACAGTCTAAACAAGACAGTTCCTAAAAGCCAATCTTCTTATTTAAAAAAAAACCATTGAAAACACATCACGCAAGGACAAGGGCAGGGGAGGGAAGAGGAAAAAATGGTTGCATTTCCACTTCAACCTTCTTCCCTAAGGGAGTCCGGGACCGAAAACAATACAAATCAAAAGTAAATTAAAACACATAATGACCTAAAAGCACTTGTGATATGGGGTAAATGCTGTCGTGTTCAGGCCCTGCTTTCCCATTGGCCTGATCCAGCTCTTAGAGCGCTCTTGCCTGTCTCTTAGGTTTGGCATTCTCCTATCAGCCGGGTATAGGCGAGGCACAGGCCTCACCCTGGTTTCGTGGGAGGGGAAGAGGTTGGGCAAGGAGAGAGAAAGGGGATTGGGTGGTTGAAAAAGGAGGAAGGGGCAGAATGAAAGGGGCTGCCCTGCTCTCTTCTAACTCTGACACCAACCCACTGCCAGCATGTGGCCCCTGCTGGCCGATTCCAAACAGAAATGCGGCCCTCGACTGAAAAATGGTCCCCTGCAAATAGCCAAAAAAGGGAGGATGCTGCGGTCCCTGCCCCAAACCCCAACCACGACACAACCCCCATGAGTCATTGGACCACACTCCACAAGCAAAGCGATCTCAACGATGAGCCAGTTTCAGGATTCGTGGGAAACAGCAATTCTCCCTGCCTGGATAGCTCCATCGGTTAGAGCCCGGTGCTTATAAAAGGTTGCAGGTTCGATCCCCGTGTGGGGCAGCTGCCTATCCCTGCATTGCAGGAGACCCCTGCCAACTATACAGTGCTATGAATGAAACACAATTTGCTCTGAATCAAGTTTTTTGGGTGGTGGGGTCCCTAGGATTGTTGGACAATTGTGATATCCAGAGGTTTCTTCCTTACCTGGCAGGCTTTGAGACTCAACTTTATCTCCACCTGGCTGGTCTGTGTTCCTACCCACATGTATACCTGCCGGGGTGAGGGGAGAAGAGAAAAAAGTCAGAATAGGTTGAAAACACAAGTTTAATAGAACTTAAAATTAAAGCACGTATCCCAAAATACAGTGGTGCCTCACAAGACGAAATTAATCCGTTCCGCGAGTCTCTTCGTCTTGTGGTTTTTTCATCTTGCGAAGCACGGCTATTAGTGGCTTAGCGGCTTTTAACGGCTTAGCGGCTATTAACGGCTTAGCGGCTTTAAGAAAAAGGAAACAAACTCGCAAGAACTCGCAAGACGTTTCGTCTTGCGAAGCAAGCCCATACGGAAATTCGTCTTGCGGAACGACTCAAAAAACGGAAAACCCTTTTGTCTAGCGAGTTTTTCGTCTTGCGAGGCATTCGTCTTGCGGGGCACCACTGTAATCACTTGGCAGGGGGAAGAGTCTCCTCTCATGTCCCGATTCACAGATTTTGCTCCCATTTTCTATCTGCCTCCCCCCTCCCTCTTTCTGAGAGGCTGGGAGCCCCCAAACTCCCCATCATTAGGGTGTACTGAATTTTTCAACTTTCAAATCTCCCAAAATGAGGGGTGCTAAAAAGTTATAACACAACTCGGGAATTCAAGAGATAATCTTGGTTAAATTAACAAAATTTAGTTTTGCTTGGTAAGTAAAAGGTATGCACAGATATCATGAAAAATGACTGCCAAGTAATTACAATTATATATTATTATTAATTACGTGATGTTTTCAGAAGGCAAAAATTAAAATTATTTGGTTTCCCGAAAGCTGTTTATGTGCTAGTTCATCAAACGTAGCCTTAACCAAGCTAATTGTTGTCCAATTGCAAAAATAGCAGATTTGAATTCCTCACACCCAAAAACATATTTTTAAGACCCCTCGCTAAATACATCCCCCATGCCCAAAACTTTACCTCACGCCCATTGTCTAGGAGCATGATGTCGTCGTCTGCCAAATCGTCTTGGCAGAAATCTGAGCATTTTTCAGACACGGCAAAATAGCCCTTTTCATTGGAGCACCTGAGAGACAAGGCCAGAAGTGAATTTCAGTAAAATGGGGAAGGGCTGTGGGCTCAGTGGCAAAGCACCTGCTTTCATGCAGGCGGTCTTGGGTTCAATCCCTGGCAAAAAGGAATCTCCAAACTATCACCACCCTTAAACTACAGTTCCCAGAGTTCTTCGCTGGAAGCAGCAATAGTTAAAGTGGTATCATTGTGCGGTCACGGAATTCTGGGAGCCCCCAAAGAATTCTGGGAGCTGCAGTTTTTTCACGGGTGCTGAGAGTTGTTAGAAAACCCCTAGGTAAAGGTAAAGGTACTCCTGCCCGTTCAGGCCAGTCTTGACACACTCTAGGGTTGTGCGCCCATCTCACTCAAGAGGCCGGGGGCCAGCGCTGTCCGGAGACACTTCCGGGTCACGTGGCCAGCGTGACAAGCTGCATCTGGCGAGCCAGCGCAGCACACGGAACACCGTTTACCTTCCCGCTAGTAAGCGGTCCCTATTTATCTACTTGCACCCGGGGGTGCTTTCGAACTGCTAGGTTGGCAGGCGCTGGGACCGAGCAACGGGAGCGCACCCCGCCGCGGGGATTCGAACCGCCGACCTTTCGATCGGCAAGTCCTAGGCACTGAGGCTTTAACCCACAGCGCCACCCACGTCCCCTAGAAAACACCTGTTCCCCCTCAAATAACTCTGAGTCCCACAGTTCTTTGGGAAGAGAGAGGGATTGTTCAACCCCTCTCTGGGATTTGTAGCCCTGAGAACAGGATAGGGCAGGAGTCAGCAAACTTTTTCAGCAAGGGG